GTGTAACACAATATAAATTGCGCCTTTTGATTCCGACAAAATTAAGTAGTCGAATTACTTTTATTTCCATAATTAACTGGAGTTTCCGAATTTTCCGAATCCTCATCTTTGCTCTGTGAAATAATATTAAAATAATTACAGATGTCCAAGTTAAAACATGACTCTGATTTCATTCTATTTTGCAGAAATTTGTGGATAGTAAAGAATCTTCATTGATGTTTATCGCACTGCTACGAAGTTCATACATCTCTGGTATTTTTCTTGATCTAATCGCTTCATTCTAAATAACAATTTTTAAATTTCGCTTCAATAATTTTAAATTAGTTATTACTGCTGTCATATACGTCAGTATACAGTTAAGTGTTTACTCCAGTAGGTGTTAATTAAATACTGTAATTTACGAAGTTTTCCACCTCAGCGGCTGAGTTTCGTTCAATCTACCGTATGAGCTATTGACATTATTTAAGCATTGCTATGACAGTTAAAGTACAGTGTATATTCTCAGAAGCGAGTAATACAGATTGTCCATAGAAACAATAATTGTTATTTTGAACTGGAATTATTAATTCATGCAATTTTTTATGCCTTTGCATAATAAACTATGTAAAACTGTATTAAGTTTACATTTTAATTACTACGAGAACAGAAATACGTATTCAGGAAATTCAGAAGTATTTAAAATAAGTGATTCACATCAATCAGCTAATGAAACGACATTTTTACAAATATTTAAATACTTTGAAAATTTGCACTGTAAGAAAGTTACCTGAAATTAATAGCTTAAACATCTCAGAAAATAGTAGTTCGTCAATGAAGAAATAATGGTGAAAGGGAAGGGCACATTTTTGTAACTAATATAACTAAATATAAATATATATTTTTTGTTATTTAGTTTCCAGAACCACTGATTTGTGTACTTATAACTATTCGTTCAGTATTGCAGATTAAACAAAAAATTGATAATTTGAAAACTAAGGTGGCAGTTAATTAATTTGGAAACTATGATTGTGTTGATTTAGAAAAGGTTTTAACTCAAAACCAAGCATTTCGTTATACAACAAAATATTCAAGTAGGTAAATGTGCTATAAATATAGTATTAAAAATGTTTTTTTATCCACTTACCAAATCTAATAATTTATCTCTTTTGTGGAGGAAAAACAATTACAGAAATAGAGAAGAGAAAATAGTATTAAAAGCTGAACAATAAAAAAAAAAAAAAAAAAAAATTGAAAGCCAAAGAGGTTTTTTTTTTTTTTTTCCCAACTATTTCTTCCTTGAAAGAAGTAATAAACAAACACAGTTAAGTTTTTAACAAACTATAATAAGAACCCAGATTCTTAAATAAAATTAGATTTTTTTGGAAAAGTATGAAGAGTTTTTAAATATTAAATTCTAAAGATTGAAAGCAAAATGATGTAACTTCTGGACAGATAATACTTAAAAGTATTTGCAATGTAATACGCTTAGTAAGTGAACATATGAACACATTTTTATCATATATAAGCAGTTCTGCATTTTCAGAGGCTCTAGGGTTCATACAAATAGGTAATAAATAACAAGGATATTACTGTATAATATTAATACAACCTTAGTACGATAAAAAGTATTAAATAATTCATATTTAATATTTTCAATAATTTAAAAATTTCGAATATTACGGAAATTTTCTAATATATTAAAGAGAATAATTTTTTACTGGATTACTAACACATTCTTGTACCTATCTGTTTTCTAAATTAGGAGTGTAGTTATCGGTTCTCTAAAGTAAGAGTACTGAGACATCACGCTACATTTAGAAAGCAATCTTGTTTTGACGGACGTCCATTTGAATTTTTAGAGATCACATTCAGCTTATAATGTTCTGTGGCGTAATATCAAAGTCGCAATGTGGCAACATTTCTAAGCATCAACGTCACAGTGTGACTTCACATCAACATCTCTATATGACGTCACATAAACGTCGCACGATTACAAGAGGGGTCCCATACTTTGAATGTTCCAGCAATCGAAAATGCGAGAATAAGCAGCGAATATGCTAAAACTGGAAAAAAAACTGAGCAAGATTTTTAAGCCAATTTTCGTATTTTTTTAATTGCGGACAGCAAGGAAATCTTGCAGTATAATTATTACCGACTACTATAAAACAAGGACATTGAAATTTGCTCAGAAGAAACAACAAAAGCTACAGCTACGAATATATGTAAATCCTCATACCATGGACTTACGATTGAAGTTTGGTGCGACTTTGCATGACCGCACATCCTGTAGTGCCACTGCAAACACGAAGAAGCAGCTTTAAAAATCCAGCTTATATTCGATGCCACATGAACAAGAAATTCACCAGCTAACTCACAAAAGAATACAGAATGAAAGTATCCATAGGAAGATGCCGAAAATGTCAATAACGTTACAGACTTCCAGGGACTATTCTCGTGACCGTTCCCATAATCCAAATAACTCATCTCTAACTCCAGTGACATCATTTTGGAGGTGAAAATTTCAGTGTATGAGATATGCTGTATATCCTGCCACGTGGACTAATCTAACTATACCATTTAATGCTGTTTTGCGCAATCGACAATTACAGCACTCACATGCTAAGCATCGATTCCAGGAAGAAAGGGAAAATCGTAGAGAGAACGAAATGATCATGCGCCAGGAAATACGGGTCCCACGAGTAATTTATTCCACTCTAGAATAATTAGCGTCTTCTTTGTGCCCACGAAACAACATCCAAGCCCCTGTTGGAAGCCTATTGTCTAGCTTGGCGTCCTTTAGGATTTTGATTTTAACGACATAACATCGGTGAATATATTGTAATGGTTCCAGCTTAAAAGCCAAGGCGTGCCATAGACTGGCGATGCATAATATTTAACTTTGATCAGAGGAATAATTTTAGAGTCTATAGAGAAAGAGAAATTCGCAGGGCCATCCTAGCGTGCATAGTGAAATCTCGCAAAACATGTAATAATTTTAGGTTAAACATTTATATTAATATTTCAGAGAGGCATTCATTCAGTCTTCCAGAAACAAGGCATTAATGCAAATCGGTATTAATATATAGCTAAATAAAAAATATTTTATAAAGTTTTTCATTTACGAACGAAAAATAATTTAATTTTAGAAATATACTCAACACAATTATTTCTGATCAGATTACCATTTAACTGGGAAGGAATTTTATACATTATATTGTACATGCGGTGGTATTTTTCACAAAGTATCGAGTTCTTAGGAAAAGGATTGATAATTATTCTTTGTGAGAATTAAAAGGCAGAGGATCATAAATTTATGTTACTTTGGGGATTTATATAAATTTTTCTCACATTTCAAAGATCAAGTAAAACTTAGGGCATTTCAAAACTCAAAGTTCTCGTTTGGGCTTAGAAAGAGCATCACTTAGAAATGTGATCCAAACAGAAATTAGCATGAAAATGCATTGAAATCAAAAGGTTATCAAAATGTTGTCATAAAACTGGAAGAATAACCTTCTTATTCATGAAAACATTGAAAAAATTCGCGACAGTCTATAAATACACTTCTTTTGTCATTAATGCTTCATTTCCGGACAAATGATCATCCTGTTCCCTTACTCATCGGCATAAATCCAAAGTCATTACTGAGCAATACATTTACTTCAGGCTATGCGTTATCGTTTGAGAAACCATTGTGTTGTATACCATAACAGCTTTAGCAGTACTATATAGAACATTGAAATAATAGTGCTACAAAAGTAATATTTTATAATCCTCAGCTGTTCCAATCCTAATTGGAAGCACACAGCGATACTTTCCGTTCGCGTGAGACTTCCTCTGGCCAGGACGGTCTATATTAATTCGAGAAGCTTCTATTAATTACCCTTAATGTCTACTATTTGGCGCCCCATCAATCGCTGGAATACTTTGTAAACCTATTTGTCTGAACATAGAGGAAGTTACATAAGCTATCAAAGAACAAGATACCACGACGTTCTATTATATATGATGGGGTTGTGTAACAGATCTGCGTGTCATTCGACTTTTGCTGTTTCCAATGCTCATCATGTATATTAGCCAAAGTTTGCATTAATCTATAAAATTCCAGTTCTGTTCCCTCTTTCTTTCTTTATAAGCAAATGGCATTTTCTGTGAATGCAAATAATGATTTTATCCTGGGCAAACAAATATAAGTTAAGAAGAAAAGTTATTAAAGAAACAAATTAGATCAGCGGTTCTCAACCTTTTGACTAACGCGTACCATCTAAACAAAAGCTGGAAAACTTGAGAACCACTACTACATTTCACAATGATTATTTTTCAATGTGTCAATAGAAAGATTTAAAAAAAAGATATATATATATATTGCCATTCGCGCAACGTATTGGCTATATTAAATACGCACACATAAAAATAATTAGATTAAAAATTGGTTACGATTTTAGTTATCAAAATTTAATTCTAAAATTTAGTGTGAAATTTGGGCCTGTTTAAAACAGATCAATTTCTTTATGTCTGCTTATTTTACTTAATTTTAACGGTAAATTAAGATCAAATCTTAATTTCGTTCTGTATTTCTTTTTCAAATAAAACGTGGAAGGAAATACTTGTTCACGCAAATAGGTTGTGCAAAGAGAGAATAAATATTTAGCAGGATTATTTGAAAAGCTTTTAAAATCTTTTTTTTTTTTTTTTTGGTGGGGTAGCCCAAAGTTAAGAATGTTATTTGTCTAAATTTCACACAGGAAATTTCTATCAAGTGTTCTTTTTTTTCCACGAGATATTTGAATTTAATAGTTAAAAATACTTTGTTTCTTTGCGTACCATCTATTTTTCTCTTGCGTACCAAATAGATTCAAAAATTAGGTTTCTTTGCAAGTATTCAAACAGAATTTTTGGACACTAGAATTAAGAAAACGGTTTACGTGATCATTTAAAAAGAAACATTGACATAATATCGATGAAATCAAAGCAAAATCTTAGTAATTTACAAAGAAAAAGTTAAAAGCCAAAAAATATCTTACACTCCGCGCTTCTTCGACGCCTCCTATGCCCGCTGTCTCCTCCAATACTGGCATCGAAATCTAAATCGGCACTAAAATCAGCACTGACACCTACTTCAAAATCAGCATCAACATTAGCCCTTGCACTAATTTCTACATCGATCTCAGCCGATCCACGAATGCCAACCGATGCGCTGCCGGAAGCACTGACTTTTCCCGATGCGCTGGCGGATGCACTTCCCGAAATGTCTAATTCAGCAGAGGCGGAGGCTGATGCACTGCCGAAATGTCTAATTCTGCTGATGCTCTGGCGGAGGCAGATGCACTTGCCGAAATGTCTATATCAGCTGATGCACTGGCGGAGGCAGATGCACTTGCGGAAATGTCTAATTCGGCTGATGCACTTGCGGAGGCAGATGCACTTGCGGAAATGTCTAATTTTGCTGATGCACTGGCGGAGGCAGATGCACTTGCGGAAATGTCTAATTTTGCTGATGCACTGGCGGAGGCAGATGCACTTGCGGAAATGTCTAATTCTGCTGATGCACTGGCGGACGCAGATGCACTTGCGGAAATGTCTAATTCTGCTGATGCACTGGCGGAGGCGGATGCACTTGCCGAAATATCTAATTCGGCTGATGCACTGGCGGAGGCAGATGCACTTGCGGAAATGTCTAATGCTGCTGATGCACTGGCGGACGCAGATGCACTTGCCGAAATGTCTAATTTTGCTGATGCACTGGCTGAGGCAGATGCACTTGCCGAAATGTCTAATTCGGCGGATGCACTGGCGGAGGCAGACGCACTTGCTGAAATGTCTAATTCAGCTGATGCACTGGCGGAGGCAGATGCACTTGCCGAAAGGTCTAATTCGGCGGATGCACTGGCAGAGGCAGACGCACTTGCTGAAATGTCTAATTCAGCTGATGCACTGGCGGAGGCAGATGCACTTGCGGAAATGTCTAATTCAGCTGATGCACTGGCGGAGGCAGCTCATTGCGGAAATGTGACATGCCTGATGCACTGGCTGATGCAGGGGCGCAGATGCCTTGCGGAATGTCTAAATGATGCACTAAGGCGGATGCACTGGCAGAGGCAGACGCACTTGCTGAAATGTCTAATTCTGCTGATGCACTGGCGGAGGCAGATGCACTTGCGGAAAGGTCTAATTCGGCGGATGCACTGGCGGAGGCAGACGCACTTGCTGAAATGTCTAATTCAGCTGATGCACTGGCGGAGGCAGATGCACTTGCGGAAATGTCTAATTCAGCTGATGCACTGGCGGAGGCAGATGCACTTGCGGAAATGTCTAATTCTGCTGATGCACTGGCGGAGGCAGATGCACTTGCGGAAATGTCTAATTCGGCTGAGAATGGCGGAGGCTGCACTTGGGAAATGTCTATTGCTGAGCAATGGCAGAGGCAGATGGCAACTTGCGCGGAAATGTCTAATTCTGCTGATGCACTGGCGGAGGCAGATGCACTTGCAGGAAATGTCAACTTCTGAAAGCTGATGCACTGGCGGAGGCAGATGCACTTGCGGAAATGTCAATTCTGCTGAGCACTGGCGGGGGCAGATGCACTTGGAATGTCTAATTCAGTGAGCACTGCGAGGAGCAGACCTTGCTGAAATGTTAATCGGTGATGCACTGGCGGAGGCAGATGCACTTGCGGAAATGTCTAATTTGCTGATGCACTGGCGGACGCAGATGCACTGCGGAAATGTCTAATTCAGCTGATGCACTGGCGGAGGCAGATGCACTGCGGAAATGTCTAATGTGCTGATGCATGGCGGACGCAGAGGCACTTGCCGGAAATGTCTAATTCGGCGGATGCACTTGGCAGAGGCAGACGCACTTGCTGAAATGTCTAATTGCATGCATGATGCACTGGCGCACTGGCGGAGGCAGATGCACTTGCGGGGAAATGTCTAATCTGCTGATGCACTGGCGGAGGCAGATTGCCTTGCGGAAATGTCAATTCGGCTGATGCACTTGCAGAGGCAGACGCACTTGCTGAAATGTCTAATTCAGCTGATGCACTGGCGGAGGCAGATGCACTGCGGAAATGTCAATTCTGATGCACTGGCGAGGAGATGCCCATTGCGGAAATGTCTAAAGATGGGATGCATGGCAGAGGCAGATGCACTTGCGGAAATGTTAATGCTGGATGCACTGGCGGAGGAGATGCACTTGCGGAAATGTCTAAATCTGCTGATGCACTGGCGGAGGCAGATGCACTTGCGGAAATGTCTAATTCAGCTGATGCACTGGCGGAGGCAGATGCACTTGCGGAAATGTCTAATTCTGCTGATGCACTGGCGGAGGCAGATGCACTTGCCGAAATGTCTAATTCGGCGGATGCACTGGCAGAGGCAGACGCACTTGCTGAAATGTCTAATTCGGCGGATGCACTGGCAGAGGCAGACGCACTTGCGGAAATGTCTAATGCTGCTGATGCACTGGCGGAGGAGATGCACTGCGGAAATGTTCTAAATCTGATGCTGAACTGGCGGGGAGGCAGTGCACTTGCGAAATGTCTAATTCAGCTGATGCACTGGCGGAGGCAGATGCACTTGCGGAAATGTCTAATTCTGCTGATGCACTGGCGGAGGCAGATGCACTTGCCGAAATGTCTAATTCGGCGGATGCACTGCAGCGCAGACGCACTTGCTGAATGTTCATTCGGCTGATGCACTGGCAGAGGCAACGCACTTGCTGAAAAATGTCTAATTCAGCTGATGCACTGGCGGAGGCAGATGCACTTGCGGAAATGTCTAATTCTGCTGATGCACTGGCGGAGGCAGATGCACTTGCGGAAATGTCTAATTCAGCTGATGCACTGGCGGAGGCAGATGCACTTGCGGAAATGTCTAATTCTGCTGATGATGCACTGGCGGATAGGCAGATGCACTTGCGGAATGTCTAATTCGGCGGATGCACTGGCGGAGGGCAGACGGCAATTGCGGAAATGTCTAATTCAGCAGATGCACTGGCAGAGGCAGCAGATGCACTGGCGGAACTGAAATGTCTAACTTCATGCTGGAATGCACTTGCTGAAATGCGGAGGCACTTGCATGCAGCTTGCGGAAATGTCTAATTCTGCTGAATGCACTGGGCGGAGGCAGATGCACTTGCGGAAATGTCTAAGTTCAGCTGATGCACTGGCGGAGGCATGCATGCGGAAATTGCGGAAATGTCTAATTTCACTTGGCTGATGCCACTGGCGGAGGCAGATGCACTTGCGGAAATGTCACTAAATTGCTGATGGCACTGGCGGAGGCAGTGCGCTTGCGGAAAGGTCTGTCTAATCTGCTGACTTGCACTGCGGGGCAGATGCACTTGCTGAAATGTCTATCTGATGATGCATGGCGAGGCAGATTGCACTTGCGGAAATGTCCTAAATCTGTGATGCACGCGGCGGAGGCAGATGCACTTGCGGAAATGCAATGCTGCTGATGCACAGGCGGAGGCCGATGCACTTGCGGAAATGTCTATTCTGCTGAGGCAATGGCGGAGGCGATGCACTTGCCGAAATGTCTAATTCAGCTGAGCACTTGCGAAAGATGCACTTGCGGAAATTAATTCTGCGATGCACTGGCGGAGGCAGATGCACTTGCCGAAATGTCTAATTCTGCTGATGCACTGGCGGAGGCAGATGCACTTGCCGAAATGTCTAATTCAGGATTGACTGGCAGAGGCAGACGCACTTGCTGAAATGTCTAATTCAGCTGATGCACTGGCTAGGCAGATGCACTTGCGAAAGGTCTAATCGCGGATTGCATGGCGAGGCAAGCACTTGCGAAAATGTCTATTCAGCTGATGCACTGGGGAGGCGAGCACTTGCGAATGTCTAAATCTGCTGATGCCTGGCGGAGGCAGATGAACTTGCGGAAATGTCTAACTGCTGATGATTGCCCGGGGAGGCAGATGCACTTGCGGAAAGTCTATTTGCTGATGCACTGGGGAGGCGGAGCACTTGCGAAATGCTAATTCAGCTGAAGCACGCTGCGGAGGCAGATGCACTTGCGGAAATGTCTAATTCTGCTGATGCACTGGCGGAGGCAGATGCACTTGCGGAAATGTCTAATTCTGCTGATGCACTGGCGGAGGCAGATGCACTTGCGGAAATGTCTAATTCAGCTGATGCACTGGCGGAGGCAGATGCACTTGCTGAAAAGATCTAATTCAGCTGATGCACTGGCGGAGGCAGATGCACTTGCTGAAATGTCTAAATCTGCTGATGCACTTGCGGAGGCAGATGCACTTGCGGAAATGTCTAATGCTGCTGATGCATCGGCGGACGCAGATGCACTTGCGGAAATGTCTAATTCTGCTGATGCACTGGCGGAGGAGGATGACAGAAATGTCTAATTCAGCTGATTGCACTTGCGGAAGGCTGCACTGCGGAAATGTCTAATTCAGCTGAAGCATGGCGGAGGCAGATGCACTTGCGGAAAGGTCTAATTCTGCTGATTGCTGGCGGAGGCAGACGCACTTGCTGAAATGTTAATTCAGCTGATGCGGCGGAGGCAGATGCACTGCGGAAATGTCAATTCTGCTGATGCACGGCGGGCAGATGCACTTGCCGAAATGTCTAATTCGGCGGATGCACTTGCAGAGGCAGACGCACTTGCTGAAATGTCTAGTTCAGCTGATGCACTGGCGGAGGCAGATGCACTTGCGGAAATATCTAATTTTGCTGATGCACTGGCGGACGCAGATGCACTTGCGGAAATGTCTAATTCTACTGATGCACTGGCAGAGGCAGATGCACTTGCCGAAATGTCTAATTCGGCGGATGCACTGGCGGAGACGGATGCTCTTGCGGAAACGTCTAATTCTGCTGATGCACTGGCGGACGCAGATGCACTTGCGGAAATGTCTAATTCAGCTGATGCACTGGCAGAGGCAGATGCACTTGCTGAAATGTCTAATTCAGCTGATGCACTGGCGGAGGCAGATGCACTTGCGGAAATGTCTAATTCTGCTGTTGCACTGGCTGAGGCAGATGCACTTGCGGAAAAGTCTAATTCTGCTGATGCACTGGGCGGAGGCAGATGCGCGATGCATTCTGCTGCATGCCGACACCGTGCGAGGGGCTTGGGCTAGCGGATGCGCTGGCACTGATGTCAGCCGAAGCGCTGGCGCTAGCACTGAATTCAGCCGATGCGCTGGCACTCAAGTCAGCTGAGGCGCTGGCGCTTAGGCTAGCCGAAGCGCTGGCACTTAAATCAGCCGAAGCGCTAGCACTAAATTCAGCCGATGCACTGGCACTGATGTCAGCCGAAGCGCTGGCACTCAAGTCAGCCGATGCGCTGGCACTCAAGTCAGCTGAGGCGCTGGCGCTAAGGCTAGCCGAAGCGCTGGCGCTGAGGCTGGCGGATGCGCTGGCACTGATGTCAGCCGAAGCGCTGGCACTGAAGTCAGCAGATGCGCTGGCACTCAAATCAGCAGATGCGCTGGCACTTAAATCAGCCGATGCGCTGGCACTGAAGTCAACCGAGGCACTGGCACTGAAGTCAGCCGAAACGCTGGCACTGAAGTCAGCAGATGCGCTGGCACTGATGTCAGCCGAAGCGCTGGCACTGAAGTCAGCAGATGCGCTGGCGCTGATGCTAGCGGATGCGCTGCACTGATGTCAGCAGCGAAGCGCTGGCACTGAAGTCAGCCGAGCACTGGCATGAAGTCAGCCGAAGCGCTGGCACTGAAGTCAGCGCATGAATTCGCCGAGCGCTGGCACTAAGTCAGCTGAGGCGCTGGCGCTAAGGCTAGCCGAAGCGCGGCACTTAAATCAGCCGAAGCGCTACGCACTTAAATCAGCCGCATGGCACTATGTCAGCCGAAGCGCTGGCACTGATGTCAGCGAGCCTGGCATCAAGTCAGTGAGGCGCTGCCAGCGCGGCGCTGGGCTCAATGGAGGGCGCTGGCCAGGATGGCGAAGCGCTGGCACTGAAGTCAGCAGATGCGCGCTGGCACTCAATCAGCGCGCTGCACTTAAATCAAGCGATGCGCTGGCACTGAAGTCAACGAGCACTGGCCTGAAGTCAGCCGAAGCGCTGGCGCTGAGGTCAGCAGATGCGCTGGCACTGATGTCAGCCGAAGCGCTGGCACTGAAGTCAGCAGATGCGCTGGCGCTGAGGCTAGCGGATGCGCTGGCACTGATGTCAGCCGAAGCGCTGGCACTGAAGTCAGCCGAGGCACTGGCACTGAAGTCAGCCGAAGCGCTGGCACTGAAGTCAGCCGATGCGCTGGCACTGAATTCAGCCGATGCGCTGGCACTCAAGTCAGCTGAGGCGCTGGCGCTAAGGCTAGCCGAAGCGCTGGCACTTAAATCAGCCGAAGCGCTAGCACTAAATTCAGAGATGCATGGCAACTGATGTCAGCGAAGCGCTGGCACTCAAGTCAGCCGATGCGCTGGCACTCAAAGTCAGCTGAGGCGCTGGCGCTAAGGCTAGCCGAAGCGCTGGCGCTGAGGCTGGCGGAGGCGCTGGCACTGATGTCAGCGAAAGCGGCTGGCCACTGAAGTCAGCAGATGCGCGGCCTCAAATCAGCAGATGCGCTGGCACTTTAAATCAGCCGATGCGATGGCACTGAAATCAACCGAGGCACTGGCACTGAAGTCAGCCGAAGCGCTGGCACTGAGTCAGCAGATGACTGGCACTGATGTCAGCCGAAGCGCTGCATGAAGTCAGCAGATGCGCTGGCGCTGATGCTAGCGGATGCGCTCGGCACTGATCAGCCGACAAGCGCTGGCACTGAAGCAGCGAGGCTGGCACTGAAGTCAGCCGAAAGCGCTGCACTGAAGTCAGCCGTGCGCGGGCAATGCGGCGGATGCGCTGGCACTGAATCAGCGAAGCGCAAAGTCAGCTGCCATTCGATTGCGCTGGCACTTAAATCAGCCGATTGCGCTGGCACTGAGGTCAGCTGAGAAATGCACGGAAGTCAGCCGAAGCGCTGGCACTGAGTCAGAATCTGGGCACTAGTCGCAGATGCGCTGGCGCTGAAGCAGCCGATGCGCTGGCACTGATGTCAGCGATGCGGGCACTGAAGTCAGCCGAGCGCTGGCAGAACGTCAGCCGGCTGGCACGAAGTCGATGCCATGGCGCTGCGAAGTCAGCCGAAAGCACTGATGTCAGCTGGATTGCGGCTGGCACTGAAGTCAGCCGAGCACTACTGAGTTGTCGGCACTGGATGCGACGCTGGCACTGAAGTCAGCCGCCGGCGCTGAGCTAGCGGAATGCGCTGGCACTTAAGTCAGCCGAAGCGCTGATGTCAGCTGATGCGCTGGCGCTGAAGTCAGCCGATGCGCTGGCACTGAAGTCAGCCGAAGCACTGATGTCCGCGGATGCGCTGGCGCTGAAGTCTGCCGAAGCACTGATGTCTGCGGATGCGCTGGCACTGAAGTCAGCCGAAGCGCTTATGTCACCTGATGCGCTGGCGCTGAAGTCAGCCGATGCGCTGGCACTGAAGTCAGCCGAAGCACTGATGTCCGCTGATGCGCTGGCACTGAAGTCTGCGGAAGCACTAATGTCAGTCGATGCGCTGGCACTAAAGTCAGCCGAAGCACTGATGTCTGCGGAGGGATGCGCTGGCTGAAGAGCTGAAGCAAGCGTCGTGATGCGCTCTGAAGTCAGCCGATTGCGCTGCACGGAAAGTCGCCGGAGCTGATGATGCACTGGCACTGAAGTCAGCCGAAGCACTGATGTCCGCGGATGCGCTGGCACTGAAGTCGGCCGATGCACTGATGTCGGCGGATGCGCTGGCACTAAGTCAACGCCTGATGTTGCTGCGCTTATGTGCGCACTGTGGCGCTTTGGTTTAAAGTCAGCCCGAAGCACTGATTCCGCGGATGGATGCGATGGCGGAAGTCTCCAAGCACGGATTTCATGCATGGCACTAAAGTCATCTGATGCGCTGGCACTGAAGCCGCAAAGCTGCTGCCTTGGCATGTCGCCGGCACTGATATCAGCCGATGCGCTGGCACTAAAGTCAGCCGACGCACTGATGTCTGCTGATGCGCTGGCACTGAAGTCAGCCGAAGCACTGATGTCAGCTGATGCGCTGGCGCTGAAGTCAGCCGATGTGCTGATGTCCGCGGATGCGCTGGCACTGAAGTCAGCCGATGCACTGATGTCGGCGGATGCGCTGGCACTAAAGTCAGCCGACGCACTGATGTCTGCGGATGCGCTGGCGCTGAAGTCTGCCGATGCGCTGGCACTAAAGTCAGCCGATGCGCTGGCACTGAAGTCAGTCGATGCACTGATGTCTGCGGATGCGCTGGCACTGAAGTCAGCCGAAGCGGTGATGTCAGCTGATGCACTCGCGCTGAATTTAGTCGACGCGCTTTCACTGAAGTCAGCCGAAGCACTGAAATCAACCGATGCGCTGGCACTGAAATCAGCGGATGCACTGAAGTCAGCCGATGCGCTGGCGCTGAAGTCAGCTGAAGCACTGATGTGTTCCGATGCGCTGGCACTGAAATCAGCGGATGCACTGAAGTCAGCCGATGCGCTGGCGCTGAAGTCAGCTGAAGCACTGATGTGGTCCGATGCGCTGGCACTGAAGTCGGCCGATGCGCTTTCACTGAAATCAGCCGATGCGCTTTCACTGAAATCAGCCGATGCGCTTTCACTGAAATCAGCCGATGCGCTTTCACTGAAATCAGCCGATGCGCTTTCACTGAAATCAGCCGATGCGCTTTCACTGAAATCAGCCGATGCGCTTTCACTGAAATCAGCCGATGCGCTTTCACTGAAATCAGCCGATGCGCTGGTACTGGTGTGTTCCGAAGCACTGTAATCCGCGGATGCGCTGGCACTCAAGTCAGCCGATTCACTGAAATCAGCCGATTGCACTGAAAATCAGCGATTGCGTTTTCACTGAAATCCGCCGATGCGCCTGAAATCAGCCGATGCGCTTCACTGAAATCGCCGATGCGCTTTCACTGAAAATCAGCCGATGCGCTTTCACTGAAATCAGCCCGATGAGCTTTCACTGAAATCAGCCGATGCGCTTTCACTGAAATCAGCCGATGCGCTTTCACTGAAATCAGCCGATGCGCTTTCACTGAAATCAGCCGATGCGCTGGTACTGGTACTGTTCCGAAGCACTGTAATCCGCGGATGCGCTGGCACTCAAGTCAGCCGATTCACTGAAATCAGCCGATGCGCTGGTACTGGTGTCTTCCGAAGCACTGTAATCCGCGGACGCGCTGGCACTGAAGTCAGCCGATTCACTAAATTCAGCCGATGCGCTTTCACTGAAATCAGCCGATGCACTTTCACTGAAATCAGCCGATGCGCTTTCACTGAAATCAGCCGATGCGCTTTCACTGAAATCAGCCGATGCGCTTTCACTGAAATCAGCCGATGCTCTGGTACTGGTGTGTTCCGAAGCACTGTAATCCGCGGATGCGCTGGCACTCAAGTCAGCCGATTCACTGAAATCAGTCGATGCGCTGGTACTGGTGTCCTCCGAAGCACTGTAATCCGCGGACTCGCTGGCACTGAAGTCAGTCGAAGCACTGGTGTCCTCGGATGCGCCGGCACTAAAGTCAGCCGATGCACTGAAATCAGCCGATGCGCTGGTACTGGTGTCTTCCGAAACGCTAGCACTGAAATGACTTGATGCGCTGGTACTGATCTCTTCCGATGTGCTCGTACTGACATCTTGCGATACGCTGGTAGTGAAATCAGCCGAAGTGTCAGCAGAAGTAGATGTCGATGCAGAAATTTCAGCATCTGAGATATCAGTACTAAAGGATGCAGATACCGAACCATCAACACTTTCAGATGCAGATGCATCAGCACTAACGGAATTATCCTCTTTTTCTGAGCCAGATACATCTATGCTTGTTGAAGCAGATGTATCAAAACCTGCAGAATTGGAAATTTCGCCTGATACAGACGTTTCTGTATTTGTGGAAACATCAAAGCTGGTTTTGGCTAAAGTAGAAAATTCATGATATTGGTCTTCTGAAATATCCGTTGTTATCCATGATAAATCTTCTGATGCAAAAATATCTCCCTTTTCGTTTACATTTGTGTCTTTTAGGAAATCACTAAATTCTTCGTCGTTTTCTGAAAGGTCAAGGTCGAATATTTCGTCTAATTCATCGCCATTCGTTTCGGAGGTTTTTAAAAATGTTGACTGGACTAGTCTATTTTCATCTCCTAGTTGTAGACTAGTAATACCAAATTCATCAATAGCAATGTCATTTATTTCAAATGTTCCAAAATCTTCGCTAAGACCATCAAACTGGTTTTCTTCAAATATATCGAATCCAGGGAAATCATTTTGGGGTGCAGTAACTGGAAGTGCCCATACTTCAGAAACTAGGAGCCCATATATGATGGTCACCACTATCAGTTTCAAATTTTCTTTCATACTCGACAGCTCTGTGTATGAAAAAAAAATATTTAAAAATAATTTTCGAAACTTTTTATAAATCATGTTGTTTCAAAATCAGTACCACAATGCTAGATTTAATGAACTTCAAAAATTTTATATCTCTAAATCAGGATAGAATATGAAACCTAAATCTTAAACGTAATAAAATTCTTTTTATTTTAAATTAGCTCTGTCTCAACAGTTTAAGATATTTTTAATAAATCTACAATAATTTGATGTACCAGTTCTCAAAGAAATTCGTATTTAAAATAGGTGAATTTCACTTGCTACGAATTTTTGTTTGTTGTTTTCCAGAGACATTAGGTTATTTTGAGGATGGAAATGTGAAAAATGTGCAATGTCCTTGCCGGACCTCGAACCTGGACGTCTCAAATACACTCTGAGTGTGCTACTATTACATCACTATGGCATGCTAGAAGGAGGCAGAAAACACCTTATATATTCCCCTTTTTAAAAAAAGACCGGGTGACTCAATTGCAGGTGACGTTTAGGTTACTAAATTGCCAAATCCTGGTGGTGACGAATTACTGTACACCATCTTTTATTTCCGGCGCTACAGCAGATTTAATCCATTCTTTTCGAACATTTCTAAGATAATTCTACAATGGCGCTCGAGCTAACAGGTGGTGGATAAAAATTCGTCAACACCAGGATTTAGCGATTGGGTCCCCTAATCCTCAGTCGCTCTTTAAAAGGGGGAGCATATAAGGTGTTTTTCTCCCTTCTCCCAGGATGACTTCGTTATGTAATAGTAGCAAACTTGGAGAGTATTCGAGAGGTCCAAATCCCGGCGAAAACATTGTATATTTTTCATGTTTCTTGCTTAAAAACACAATGGCTCCGCACTTTTGTTAAATTATCATTCGTTTAACTTGCCAAAATTTTGCTTCCTTGAACGAAGTAAAAGAAATATTGTAATCGTGAAACATTTTCAATTGCGACGGAAATATCCATTCTGAGCCGTCTTGGACCCATTTGGATGATTGTTTTTCGCGTGATGTCTGTAAGTACGAAGAGATTAAAGAATTCGTTTTTATATCTTTAGTTTTAGGCTTTGTGAACCTTCTAATCAGGCCTCTGAATATCGTTCAACAATTTGCATCTTCATTCCTTAAAGATTCTTAAACAAGTTTTCTGCAAGCTTCTTAGGTAAAAACATGCAGAAAATCATAACATGAGCACAAATGAGGAAATCATTTGGAATGAGATTTTGTTTTACTTATTTATCGCAGTTATTTTATGCTTCTGTGTTGTCATCGCTAACTAAAATATTCATGAATATTAATTACAAAATTTTACGCTATACCTATACCGTAAAGATTATATCACACATATTAGAGACATTCGTTATATGCAGTTTATGTCTCAGTCTCATCCTATGCGCAGGATAGGCATTAAATGCTCTTTGAAAAGGGACGCTTTACTAAAATTTCAGAATATGCTATGATAGCAAACTTTAGAAGTATCCACTCCGATGAAATAAAATCCCATAGCAGCAAATCATGTTAAAAAAATCAAGTTATATAATAAGCAACAATAAACAGAACCACACATAAGGTAAGAAAACTGGAATAAAATCAATGAGTGATGGAGGACGTGGGCACCATCCCTCTACCATATTGGATAACTAGTATAGCGCCACTTCCACCCTTATCTAGAGCAAACTTTGGATGGTAATGAAGGGGGTCCCGCAGGCCTCTCGCACCCAGCGCGGAAAGGCAGTGCCTGGTGCATAACCCTTCTAGCCCACCACCCCAAGCAGCAACTAGGAGTTTTTATAAACATACATAAGCAGTATACGTGGCCCTAACAGAGGCCTCAGTCGTACATACTTGAGGTTGCAATAATTACTTGAATTTGTTATAAAGAGAATTCAAGACATTTACATCTTGTTAAACAATAACATAAATTTGAATGGTTGAAAGTTAACAATAATGCCTGATACATTACCAATACATAGTATATAGTTATGCATAACAAGTATATAACTAATACATATTAAATATCTTAGGTTTACATCATTAACCCAGTGATTGCTTTGGGCTCGATATTTACCTAGGATTTGACGAGTTGATATATAATTATTTTCATAACTTTGTATGGAATCATTATTCAATACATTACTAGAACATAATATGATTATACATAAGTAGAACATTCTCATAACTTTTAGGACATTAGATCTATTAGGTTATTTTGAAGCAGGAGACATGAAAACTGAACAATGTCCTGGCCGTCTCTCGAACCTAAACCTCTCGAATCCGCCCCGAGTGTGCTACTATTACACCACGAAGGCATGCTGGAAGGAGGAAGAAAATAAGTAAGTGAGAACTGTAAGACAGAAAACAGCCATGTTCACAAGAAAAATGTTTTGGAATGTAGTGCTGCATATTGAGTCAGAGTGGTGAGACCGTCGATGGTGTTGGCCGTTAAACTTCGTGCTCCGATTTTAGTGCCATTTTAAAGGTGTAAATAGCTACAGTTGGTATTTTTCATGTTTTAAAATATGTGCATAAAGTGTTCCTGATTAAGTAGATACCAATTTTGTGAAATTCGTCCTGCAAATTTCAAAGTTATGGTGATTTTTGGATATATAGTTGTGGTATAATGTTACGAGATTCCAGCAATGGGGTCTTCGTTTTGTGAAGTTTTGGATCGTGTTTTGTGCCAAACAGGTGTAGAAATTATGTTCTACAGCTTCCGTGGATTGCATCGATTTGCGTCATATGTATTTTAGATAAGTATTTACTGATTTATCTTCAATTTTGTATTTGTTTACATTGTACTTTGTGTTCATAGACTGATATTAAGCTAGAGACTGTTTTCGAATTAATTAATGGTCCTTTTGGTGAAATTAATTGCAATTTTCTTTTAAATATTAATGTTTTTTATGATTTTATGACTTACAAAAAATTTTTGGACAGTTTTATCACAATTAGGATAATTAATTAAGATTTTTATACTATGGTACAAAAAGGACGCTATCTTACACCACTGTTCTTCGAAATTCTTAAGAGTCTGTAACCGGAAGTTGCCATACGCATAGAAAATATGTTCTAAATTTATATGTTGTTACTGATTATAATCTCTAGAGAAGTAATGTTTTTGAACTTGTCAAACTTACGTTCTGAGACTGTGGTTCTTTCCTGGAAAACTCCATAGACTATATGTTAAATTCATGCTTATATTACTACTTGAAGTCAAGTGATAATTGTTTTAATTTCTGTGCTATAATGTTCCTTGGGGTCCTTTTTGTTAATTTTAATAATTCAAATCGTACTTAATTTTAATTAGTCTTTTGTTAATTAATGATTTTTGTTTAATTGGTTCTTTTCTGCTTACCGATTTGTTTTCATAGTGTTTTTATTTCTGTTTCACTTTTAAGTCATATGTTTAAGGGTTTTATGATTATATAGTAACTCCCTCTGCAGAAAAGCCCATTTTATAGAATTATAATAAAATGTCTCATTCTAATGTTACGCTTTCTCCGGCACAATCAGTTTCTTCAGTCTTTGAATCTTCTCCTGGCTCTGTACAAGATTTGGCCCCAGAAAAGGTAACTGGGAACCATCTATCATTTATTAATGAATCCTATGACGGTATCTTAGCATTTTTAGTTGATGCTAATGCAAAACATAAACAAAACTAATGCAAAACATAAATTAAATAATAAAGATGCAGAGAAACTTAAAAAGTTTGTAAGCAATATCAGATCACATTCAAACAAACGTGAATTATACATAGCTCACCTGGAAGGTTTTAACGCCTGCTTGAAGGAAAGAGTCTCTTCATTGGAGGAAAAGAATTCTTTGTTGGAAAAAAGACTTTTGGAACTTGAGTTAAAATTTAATCAGTTAACACAGCTTGACCAAGCCACTGTCTTACCACATTCGGAAATAGCGTCCGATTTACAGGCTTGTCATTCACATAGTTTAGACGGTAAATTTGATAAAGTGAATTCGGAGTTATCTTCTGCAGAAATTGTTAGGCTTCACTTCGAAGCCTTCACAGGTAAGGAAGATTCCAGCTCAACAGGATCACGTTTTGATTATCAAGGCTAAAGATACAAGTAGATCGCCAAACAGTATTAAGACGCAATTAGTTCAGAATATTAAACCGCAAAGGCTCGGAGTAAATATTTTACAAGTTCGTCCAACAAGAGCCAAAGAGTTACTTGTTCGTTGTAAAGGGGAAGAGCAATTGGTGACATTGAAAAAAGCCATTTTGGAAAACTCGGATTTGAAGGAACATTTGGACCTGAGAATTCCAAGACTACCAAGAGTGTCTTTCATAGTTTTTGGGGTTCCTCAGGATACTACTTCTGAGGAACTACAAATAGCTTTTCAAGAACTCTTATCATCAGGTGAGAAGAATTTTGTTTTTCCAAGGGAACCCAGATCCAGAACAGACGGTACGTGCAACTGGCTTGTTGAGGTGTCTAGAGAACAGGCACAATTGTTGAAGGACCTGAAGAGAGTCTATATTGGTTTCGCATCGTGCTTCTTTCGAGAATTTCATAAAGTGACGCGTTGTTATCACTGTCAAGCCTTTGGTCATTTAAGTCTAATTTGCAAAATCCACCGGCCTGTGCAAAGTGCGGGAAGGGCCACCTTACTCAGGAGGAGTGCTCCGAAAGCATTGCAAATTGCGTCAATTGTACTCACTCCAACGCCTCTGCAGGAACGAAGTACGAGACATCACATCAGGCTAGCTCATCACAATGTCCGCTATACAGGCAGGAGATTCTTCGCCTCAGCAACACTCAGAAGTGACAGGCTTAATGAACATACCGGTTACTCAGAGCATCTCGGGTCTGACTTGTGCACAAGTAAATTTACAGAGATCAAGGGCAGCTACTTTAAATTTTATTGATTTTATGATTAGAAATGAAATACAGCTCGCTCTCTTACAAGAACCTTATGTCAAAGATGGCAAGATCATTGGATTACCAAACTTTAGTAAGATATTCTTTTCTGGTTCTTTTAAA